GATTGATGAAGTACACTGCTGAGGGGAGCAGCGGGCAGGTCAGGAGAGGTCTGCTGTGCCATGTGGGTCAGCTCCCTGGCCTGGGATTGAACTCATGCTGCAGTGAACTTCATAATGTTGCAGTCTAAGTCACTGTGCCACCAGGGAGGGCCCTAAACTAATATCTTTTAAGGGAAAAGATCCTTTTATTTTTAGGAAAAAAGATCCTTTGTGGGCTAGACATTAATAATAAATGACTTGGTAAATAATGACATGTCACTGTGATTGAATACTCTGTATGACTAAATATCCTGTAGTCATTAAAAATAAGTATGGAAGCTGAGTAGCAATAATATATGATGTGTGAAAAGAGTAGGGGGAAAATGGTAAGTACTTTTCAATCACAATCAAGTTAAAAATGTTTATGTACAAAGATCAAAGACTTGAAGAAAACACACCAAAAGTGTGATGACTATAGCCAAGACAGGAGACTGTCTAACTGCCAATCAATAGATGAGTGTAGCAAGAAGATGTCGTCTGTGCACACGATGGAATACTACTCAGCTATAAAAAAGGAAATCGTGCCACTGTCATCAACATGGATGGAAATGGAGGTTATGTTAAGTGAAATTAGCCAGAAGGAGAGAGACAAATACTGTGGACTTTAGAGAAACAAAGCAAAGGAACAGGCCAAGCAAAACCAAAGCAATCCCTTGGACTCTGACAGCAGAATTGAAGGAGAGGGGGCTGGGAACAGGAAAGGAGAGGCCAAATGGACTGTGAGGGGGGGGCAGTGGTGGTTTGGTGGTGGGCATGGCATGGCAACATACATCTGAAGAGATGTGAATCTGTACCCCTAAAACATAAAGAGTGCTATAAACCAATGTTACCTCAGTAAGAAAAATAATGAGTCAATGCACAAGTTACTACTACTACACAGCAGAGGAAATGGCAGGTGAGAGACCAAAGGCTAGAGGGTGACCACTGAGTCTTGCACTGTGGTCAGCTTATCCCCCCTCGCTCCCCAGAGCAGCTCCACTGGCTCCCTCACCGGGAAATGGAAGTTGAAGTGAGTGCAGGACTGGTCTGGGGTGATCACTACGTCCCCGCTTTGCTCAGATCTCCCATTTGCGAATAAGCCCCGGCTTCGGGTCCGATGAGCATCTAGCTGCAGAGTGTAATGGAGGCTGGTAGTCAGGGGCCCTGGACAGGGTTAGAAAAAAAAGGCAGGCATTGAGCGGTGGCCAATCTTGGGGCCTCAAGTGTGGAAGTAGGACAGGCGTGGCTCTGTGGAGAAGGAAGACAGCGCTGACCTTGGAAATGGGGCATGAGAGACTTGACCTGGAAACAGACTGTGATGACAACACCTTCCTTCTCCTTGTCCTTGTCGCTGGCTGAAAAGGAGCACTCGACTTCATGCACCGGGATTTCAGCCGGGGAGAAGGATATCTGTGTGATGATGTCCACTACGGGCCGGGAGCTGCAGGGCAGAGAACCACTATTCTCCCCGGGGCCTCCACTGTGCAGGCCAGTCAAGTGAGAGGTTCTCCTTCCCTAAACAGACCTGAGCGCCTGTCTCCTCCTGCGGTAATAATAGTGATGACTCACTGGGGCCCTGCTCCCATCTGGCACCTTCTGACCCGCTTTCCAGACAAAGTGAGCTTTTGAAGAGAGGCCTCACTGAGCCACTTCCATGCTCACCCCCTTTGGTGATGCCACACGACATTCCCAATACAATCCACATGTCTACTAGCCAGGCCAGACCGCCGCCTCATCAGTCTTAACCTCCGCTACAACTTCCCTTGGTGGACCGGGTTCTGGGCACTACAAGTTTGTGCCTGCCTGGTGGCCATGGCACACTCTGGCTTTCTTCACAGACAGCTCTACTCCAGATTTCCAAAAGTCTGGCTCTTTCTCATCTTCCAAGTCGAAGCTCAAATGTCACCTGGGCCACCCAATCTATAGCTCCTCTTCCACTACAGTCTTTATAGAACCCTGTGCATTTCCCTCATAAGCTTCTCACAGTTCATAATGACCTATTTGCCTACTTCTTTCTTAAGTTTTCTGTAGCTCTGTGCCCATTGCCTGGCTCAGGACTTACGATATCACAGGTGTCTGTCCCCTCTATGTCACTCTATAATGCTTCTGATAACTCTCAGACATGGGTAAGTCGGAAATGTCATCACTACTTGCCAGGTGCATAGGCTGAGGTCCTGAGAAGCTCAGCGCTCAGGGTAAGACCACCCAGGAGACACTGGGCAGTAATCCCGGTCCTCTGACTTGAATTCAGGTAACCAGTTCTTAGTCACCTAGTGCTGCTCCACAGTTTGGCTGTCAGGAGAGCCTGGTTTTGGACACTGACCTGTTACTGACTAGCAACTGTTTCACCTGCAGTAGGATGGAAACAGTGTCTAAAAAGAGAGCCCACCTCACCGAGTTGGGTGGAGACCAAATGAGCTATTGCCCACGCAGGAACTGCTCAACGGAGAGTCTCTCTCTTACCTCAGCACGATCACCTGGCCCTTGGCCCCGACAGCCACATCTACCAGGCCATCCCCTCCGAGGTCCTTCACCCCGTGAATAGAGCGTCCAAACCACTGAATTCCTGGGAACGCCTGGGCCCCATCTATCCGCTGGGACCAAGAGAGAAATTTATGCTGAGCTGGGCAGGAAGGACAAGGCAGGCTGGGGTGTGGGGTGGGAGGTCTGGACCTGGAGGCTTCCAGGTACCTGGGGAGGGTTTGATCAACAGGCAGGGGACCTCACCTGGCTTGGCCGGGGGCTCAGACCCCCTTGCTGCCCATTGAAGATGTACACAGCCCCCTGCTTTTCCAGCGGGGCTCCCACAGCCACGTCCATCAGCCCGTCTCCATTGATGTCATTCAAGGCAGTGATGGCCGCTCCAAATTGCCCCAGGGGGTAGCCAGGGTCCCCCTGCAGCTCTGAGACCATTTCAAACTCCAGCTAGGAAGAGACAAGGTGTCAAGTGCCACCTCAGTCACTCAACAAGCTTTCGCCAGCTGCAGCCGTGTGCACAGTGAGGAATGCTAAAGGCATGGTGGGTGTCACCCCACACAAAATTGGACAGTGCCATCAGGCTAACCCAGGTTCAAGTCCCAGCTCCGTCTGTTGCTACCTGTCTAGCAAAAAAGTTCTGGCAAGTTTCCCAGTCTATGGAGGTGCAGTGCTGCCATTTGTAAAATAAAACTGAGTCTCTCAGCTCGTTCTAAAGGTCAGACTAACACATGATCAGACTGGGAGAGCCTTTCAGAATAATGGGGCCTGAGTGAGCTGTGACTCTGTTTTTCTTATTTCAGCTCAACAGCCTGGTCCCCACCTTTTTTCTCTGGTAAATAAACACCCGGCCTCCTCTCTGGTCTCCATAGAACAGGGGGGCTCCAATCAGCAGTAGCTCTGTCTTCCCATTTTGGTCCATGTCAACGCCGCACAACTCACCACCAAAATAAGAGCCAATCTGTAGGGAGAGAAAGATGTTTGAGGGAGTTCCCCCCCAACCCCAGCTGTACCTCATCCACTTCCTCCTCAAATGAGAGTTCAAGCCCAGATCCAAGCTAGAATCCATCTAACTTAAGAGAAGTTAGGCTTGGGCTTCCCTGGTGGCTTTGAGGATAAGTCTCAGGGCCACCACTGCTACAGCCCAAGGTTGATCCCCGCCCCAGAGCTGACCCACAGTGCCCAGTAGACCTCTCCTGACCTGCCCGCTGCTCCCCTCAGCAGTGGATTTCAGTAGATCTGCCTGTTCTACTCCCCACTCTGTCTCTGGTGAATCCTCTTACTACCTACACCCCAGTTATTCCTTGCAAGAAAAAAAAATAAAGAAAGGAAAGAAAAAAGAAGGGCCCGTTGGGCTCTTTGAGGTTCACTTTCTTTTTTTTTTTTTTTTAAGATTTATTTATTCGTACAGAACTGGGGTACAGACCAGAGATGCGGAGGGTAAGAGGCTTCACCAGAGACAGAGTGGGGAGCAGAACAGGCAGATCGACGAAGTACACTGCTGAGGGGAGCAGCAGGCGGGTCAGGAGAGGTCTGCCGCACCATGTGGTCACCTCTGGTGCAGGCGGGGATCGAGCGCAGGCGGGGATCGAACTCATGCTGAAGTGGCTTTAGCTTCTCAGTGCTGTGTTTTAACCCACTGCACCACCAGGGAGGGCCCAAGGTTCACTTTCTTACACTGGCAGGTGGAGACACCGAGCTGACCTCACAGGCTTGGTGAGTTACTAGCTCAACCGTGCTTGGCACAGGGCCTGCTGTGTGGTAGTGGATGTGTGTTTGGAAGGCAACGGGGAGCATGGTAGTGTCCCACCAGCCCCCCACCTGCAAATACCCCTTGATCCTGCTCACCTGGTCCCCATCTAGTTCCTGAACTTGTCTCCAGTCTCCTTTGCTCTCAGTCTCTTGAAACAGTAGCACCCGCCCCACATGCTGGTATCGGGGGGCTCCAGCTGCCAGCAGTGGTGTGAGTTCTCCAGAGGACAGCCAGGCGACTGTGTAACCTAAGGGGAGAGAGAGAGCGAGGGGCGTGGAGTCAGAAAAGCAGGCTGCTGGAAGAAGGTCAGACGCAGGGGGAAAGATAGCAGATGTCCTGGAACACCGGCTTAGTAGCAAAAACGTACTAAAACGGCCAGAAGACCTTCTTTGGAGAGAAGCTGCAGTATGCTGTGAGCTGCACCAGTGCTGCTCTCTTGGCCCAAGGTTGCATTTCCCTAAAGGTGGACAAATACCACCCAGACAAAGCAGCCTTGAGCCACGGGGGAAGCGTGGTGCACCTTTCTGAGGCTGAGTTCACTGAGGGGCGGCAAGGGAGCGGCACTTACTTAAGTCATAAAACAAAACGGAATCTGTTAGTAAGAAGAATGTGAAGTTGGCATAACATTACAGAGAATGCAGGAGACTTGAAAAAAAATGTCATCCCTAAATGTACCACTTGGAGCTGTCTTCAGATATCACACCCCTGGGGCTTGGTCCTCACCCCTCTGTTGCGCCTGGGTGAAATGGCTTTTTTTAATTTTTTAATTTTTTTTTTTTGCATAGAAGAGCTGGGGTGTAGGCTAGAGGTGTAGGCTGAGAGACATGCCCTGGTAGTTTGCAGAACGAGTGCGGTTTGCAGATGTCAAGATGAGAAAATACAGAAAATAAAAAGAGGATAAACACATTGGTGAGGGACAACGAAGAGGAAGTTGAGCGTGTCCTAACCATATTGATACTGAGTTTGCTCATGTGGCTGCTTAAACTGCTTTCAATATTATTTGGAAGGGCAGCCTGTATGACTCTGCAGGCCTGAGGCCAAGAGAAGCCAGCAGAACAGAGAACACTCACCCAAATAGCCCTCTTTCACTTCTGGTGTCAGCGGCTCATTCCCCACAAATGTAGCATCCTGCAGATCCTCCTTCAGGTCTAGAAAGCCCCCGGCCCAGTCCTTGGCTCCAACTGCCCCCACAGCGCCCCGGCCCTGCTCAGAGGAGGAGACCAGCAATCAGCTGTGCACCCCCCAGACCCCCTCCTCAGGCCACTGCGCCAGCTGCTGCTCACCTTGCTGAGGGAAGCACTGATGCCACTGGAAGACAGTTCCATGTCGAAGGACGTCAGGTCCAGCTTGCTTGTGCCTGAGGGTCAAGGTAGAGAGGAGCACTGGGCTGAGGCCCCAGGAGTGGTGGACACAGAGATACTCATGAAGGGACTGGGCAAGGCAAAAATAGCATGAGCTTTTCAGTCAGACAGATCAGGGGCTGACTTAAACCCTAAACTTCATGTAAAACTCCACCAGCTCCAGATATTTTTTTTATTTTTTTATTTATTTTTTTTTTTGCATAGAAGAGCTGAGGTGTAGGCTAGAGGTGCGAGAGGTGCGGAGTTGGGGGAAGGTGAGAGGATTCACCAGAGACAGAGCGGGGAGCAGAACAGGCAGATCCACTGAAATACACTGCTGAGGGGAGCAGCAGGAGAGACAGGAGAGGTCTGCTGCACCTTTGGGTCAGCTTCCTGGCTGGGGATGGGACTCCTGCCACAGCAGTGATATTGCTGAGATTTAAGCTCTGGACCACCAGGGAGGCCTGGATCCAGATTTGGATATCTTAGTTACTCCAACTCTGCCTGTGTGAGACTTAGCTCTGGATTTCTATTGCTACTTGCTATGCTGACTCACCTACAGAATCATGCTAAAACCCAGGAATTGACTTTGACTCTTCCTTTCCCCTGCTCTGTCCCCAATACATCCCCAAATTGTGATGGCCCTAATTCACCTGGCCAGCCATTCCCCTCTCTTGCCTGCCTAATGCAATAGCTTGCTAATTTGGTCTCTTTGACTTAACTCTACTTCTTTCCATGCCTGCCAACTCCCCCCTCTCCCAAGCAAGGAATAATCTTTAAATAATGCATATCAGACCACGACTTTGCCTTTCTTAAAAATCCTCCACCATGTCCTGCTGCTTTTTAGACTAAAGTGCGATCTCCTCATGAGGGCCTAGAAGAGTCCACCTACTTCTCCAACTGTCTCTCTCTCTTCCTCACATTCCCACCACACTGTCCTTCCTCTCATCCTGCCAACAAGCCAATCATCCCCATGTCTAGGCCTCTGTAACTCTTCTCTCTGACTAGATTGTTCTTTGTCCACAGTATTCACATAGTTGCTTGATTCTTACCATTCATGTCTCAGGTCAAAAATCATTTTGAGAATTTTACCTCAATTTAGAAAAAGCTATCTGCAGTAGCTTCTTCTAGCTAAATCTGTCTCCTGGCCTTATTGATAGCACTTCTCACAATCTTAAATTAGCCCAATTGTTTGCTTTCTTTCTCCATCTTGAATATGAACTTGGCCTTGGCACATGTCTGATTATCTTCATCACAGTCCCTAACACAAGGATGGTGCATGAATCAGTAACATGAAAACAATACCATTTTGCAAGAATGCTAAAAGGCATGAACAAAATTTATAAAGGGTCTGTTCCATGTAAGCTTCCAAAGAAACACTGCAGTTATGAAGATTTGCTCCTTCTCTGAATAAATAAATATTTAGGGTAACAAAATATTTGGTGTCACAGATATAAAGGCTTTTGAAAAAGCTGGCCCTCCCTGGTGATGCAGCAGGTTAAAGTGCAGCATTGCAAGCAAGCTACAACCGCTTCAATACAAGTTCGATTCCCGCCCCGAGGTGATCCACATGGCGAGAATCAGACCTCTCCTGTCTTCCCACTGTTCCCCTCAGCAGTGTATTTCCTTGATCTTCTTGATCTGCTCCCCACTCTGTCTCTGATGAAGCCTCTCACTGCCCCTGCACCTCTGGCCTGTACCCCAGTTTTGTATGCATAAATAAATAAATCTTAAAAAAAAAAAAAGGTGTGGCCCTTCCTGGTGGTAGCAGTGGGTTAAAACACAGCACTGAGAATCGAAAGCCACTTCAGCATGAGTTCGATCCCCGCCTATCCCGGAGGTGACCACATGGCGTAGCAGACCTCTCCTGACCCGCCCGCTGCTCCCCTCAGCAGTGTACTTTGTCGATCTGCCTGTCCTGCTCCCCACTCTGTCTCTGGTGAATGCTCTCACCGCTCCCGTACCTCTGGCCTGTACTCCAGTTCTGTATGCACCAAAAAATAAATGAATCTTTAAAAAAAAAAAGGTGAAAAAGCAGACAGAGAGTTGCTCTGGCAGGCCTCACAGTTTGGTGTGGGACACAGATATCAAGTAGACAGACTCTTTGCCAGGGTGTCACTGCCTCACACGGGAAGAAGCACCTGCCCAGACTTGGGGTTTGGTGAGAATATATCAGATGAAGGAAGTAAGATTTGAAGGATGATTAGGGCAGGTCAGGAGAGAGAAAAAGAGCTAGAGAATAAGAGTCATGATTTATAGCAAGTTTACCACAATTCAGTGTTTACAATTCAGAGAATTGTACTCTCTGAAAAAGATATGGTGAAGACTTAGTTCTTAGTACTCAGAATTTAATCTGATTTGGAAATGGGGTCATCACAGAGATAAGTTAAAATGAGTGCATGAGGGTGGGTCTCCATCTGAAATAACTGATATTCTTATGGGAAGAGGAAATCTGGACACAGGGTGTGTGCAGAGGGAAGATGATCTAAAGACACAGCTCGGAGATGGCCTGTGGCCAGGGGATGGGTCAGTGTTGCTGCTGCTAGTCAAGGTCACTAGGCCAGGAAGAAGCCTCCCCTAGGGCAGTTAGAAAGGGTGGGGACCTGCTACCATCCCACCCATTCTGCCCCTCCCCCCACCCATCCTGTCCCAACTTTTGATTTCTAGCCTCCAAAAAGGTACGGTAATACATTTCTGTTGCTTTAAGACAGTTTGCAGTCCTTTGTAACAGAAGCGTTAGGCGGTGAAAGCAGAAGTTAAGACTTCAACCTGTGAGGTTGGTATTATTATTCCCACTTAAAGCACAACACTGAGCAGAGGAAAGGGAAAGTGATGTGTCGAGGGACACAGGTACAGACAGAGTAGATTCCTGAGCCTACTTCCATTATATGGGCAATGTTTCAAGGGAACTGAACACCAAAGCCATGTCCTGACAGACTAGGAAGCACCAGCCAGTAGCCCAGGCCTCTAGCTGGCGATTACAATAAAACCTTTCATTCTGGGCTAAGGAAGAAGGCCTGTGGGTTCCTTGCCCTCGGTCCCTGCCTCCTTGCCCATCTTAGGTGATTTTGAGACTGAGGATAAGTGAAAATGATCAAGTTGAATGGTAGGAGGATTCATTCCACAGGGCTCAGCCGACATGAGGATAGTAGGTCAGTTCTGGACCCCAGCCTGGACAAGCTGCCCTTCGAGGGCTTTCCAGGAAGGAGCACGCTTAGCCCAGTGGCAGATGAGCAGAACATGTGTGCTGTTATTCAGCCTGTCTCTGGTCCAGTGCCCCAGAGGAGCTGTGCCAGGGACAGCCAGACAGCCGTGGAAGTTCTCTGCTTTGGACGAAGACACAGAGTCTTAAAGGAATTTGCAAAGGGTTGCTGGGGAGAGAGCCCTTGACAGCGGCTCTGCCTCTCACTCGCCCAGCCCAAGATTTTACTAAAGATATAAATAGAAGAGTAAGAAAATTGCCATTGTATTTACGCTTATATGATTCAGTAGGTTACTGCTGAAAAAAGTTTTTCTGGTTAGTTGGAAACATGCTCACAAGCCAGTATGTCCTCGGGGAGCAGGAGTCAGCTCTGGGGAGAAATTCTGTTTGCAGAGCTTTAACATCCTGGAACTCTGCCAACAGAGTAAACAGGTGCTCTCAGGAAACACCAGGCTTCCCCCTCCCCCATCGCCACTCACCTTCAATGGTATATATCTTCTTTTGCAGCTCAGTGAACAAGTCTTTAAGCTTCTCAAATGTGTCCAGAATTTTGACAAAATCCGTTGTGGGTTTCGAAGCAAATTTGTGGAGTGTCTCTTGACTTTGCTTTGTCTTAAATTGCTTGCCAATCTGTGAGGGATGAAGAACGGAGGGCTGGAATCTCCAGAAATGCAGACCAGTTTTCTATTATTTCCGTAAGACCCAGACCAGGGGGGGGAAGGCAGTAGCTTCAGGAACAGGAGATGAAAGAGACCGAAGAAGCCAGAGGCCTGCGTTTATACCCCAATGATGTAGCGGATGATGTCTTTGGCGTTGTCGATGTTGCCAGAGTCGGTGGCTTCCCCGTCAGTGATGATGATGAGCACTTTGGTTGCATCCAGCCGGGCCCCCAAGTCCTGCCGAAACACCTCTGTCCTGTGTCCAAGGAAAGGGGGGAATATGAGTGATTTCCCCTAAATCCAGCGAGGTGTCCTCATTCCCCCCACCCCTGTCCATTCAGTCATTCCATGCTGGTATGCTTGGGTCCTGCTCGGTCTCCAGGAACGTCATTCCCAGCCTTCGACTTCTCATTGGAACCCCCCAGAGAACTGGGCAGGGAAAGAAGGTTCAGTTACCTATGCTGGTGGTCTAGAAAAGATTTTGATGGAAAAAATGGGTTCCGTGGCATGGATGGAGCTGGAGAAGATCACACGTAGTGAAATAAACCAGAAAGAAAAGGAAAAATACCAGATGATTTCACTCATAGCAGGAGTATAACGGACCAGGTGAGAAAATAATAATAATAATGAACAGCTATATACCAGAGGCATTTTACGGGGGTGGAGTGGGTAATGGGGTCAAAAACAGTGGGGGAAGGGAAGTGCACTGGACTATGTTGATGGCACAGGGTGATTTGGTGATGGGAAACCCAAGGGGATTACAACTGAGATGAAAAAAGGCACAAAATGATGTAAAAATAAACTACTATATATACAAAAAAATTGGGTTCCCTGGTTGAAGAAAAATGGCAAGTCACCCTGCCAGAGCGAGCTCATGGGTGCCTCCAATGCCGTCCTCCCTCCCCAGGGTGCCATCCACCCCTGTCACGAGAATCCTAGGAAATGGGGGGGACTGCTTGTCTCCCTGAGTTCCTTAAGGAAAGGGCCAAGCTTCACTTGTTCCTAGATCGCTGGCTCCTCTGTGGAGAGGTACTGGGTGCTTGTGAAGCAGAAGGGCAGCCAAGCCTCAGCCCCACCTGCCCACGGCCTCCTTCTGAAGCAAGACTGCCCCCTGCAACTTGTGCTGGGACAGCAGCTCCGGCTCTTCCTTCCCTCACAGCCAGGAGCAGCAGCCCGCACCGACTATGACCTGCCAGAGAGGCGGGGGTGAGTGATGGAGGCGAGTAGATAAGGCAGGAAAGCTAGTGGAGGCTGCTGTGTAGGCCCGGCCAGCGGGCACAGACCCCTCAGGACCTCTAGCTCCATCTTAGATACAAAACATTTCTCCCACCCACCCACGTGGACGTGGCCTGACACGAGGGCCATTAGTGGATTTCTTCGTGAAGCCACCATCGTTTCTCATCTGGAGTTTTCAATAGCTTCCCCGGTGGCTTCCCTGCCTCCAGTCTAACATCAGCCCTGCCGCCAGAGGGGTCCTTTGGAAAACATAAGTCAGATTGTCCTTCTTCTGCTCAAAACCTCCCAAGACTCAGGAAAAGTCTAAGTCCTCCCTGTGGCCTCCAGGTCCCTGCCTCACGCACCGATCTCTGTGCTCCCCTGCTTCACGTTTCTCTCCAGTCATGCTGGGTCCTGGCTCTTCTTTGAGCATCCCAAGCATGATATCCTCTCGGGGCCTTTGCTCTTCCCTCAAGAGTGGTACCACACTCCTGGTGCCACACACTCCCCGGGCAGCCACTCGGCTGACGTCCTCACAGTCAGCAAGTCTTTGCTTGAATGGAATAACCTTCCCCGATCTTTCTCTTTATTTTTTCGCTTTATTTTTCTTTATACAACTTACGTCTTCTCCTGTACTGTCTATTTAGCTTATTAATCCTGATTATTTTATTTCTCTCTACTAGAATGTGAAACTCCAAGAGGTTTTCTTTGGGTCAGTCCAGCCCTCTATTCTCGGCACCAAGAACACGGCAGACCACTGCCTGCATGCCAAACCCAGCCCACGCTTGTTCTTGGACTAAAAATAGGTTTAATGTTTTTGTTTTCAAAGAGTTATAAAAACAAAGAAGAGTATGTAACAGAACCATATGTGGCCAAACAAGAAAAACCAAAAATAGTTACCACCTGACCCCTTACAGAAATATTTGCCAACTCAACCTGCAACACTGCCTGGTATACAGTCAGGTGGCCAAGAGTATTTAGGAAATGCATTGCCATGACTGTTATTGATTGTTCCCACAGAGTTGGAGCCCAGAGTCCCAGGCTGCAGCTGGGTGGACTCTTGGATGCCCAGCTGGTTTAGCCAATGAGATTTTCTCTCCTGGAGACTGAACTTCAAGTTGTTTATCTGAAATGAAGAACTAAAGCTGGCATTTTTTCAGTGGATGTGACTTGATCAGATACCCCCAAAGCTGTCTAAATGAGAAGAAAGAAGTGGACATGACAGATCAGATAAGTGCCAGGATAGAAGAGCTGGAAACACACATGAACAGGCTCGAGGAGAAGCAGATTTGCATATTTAGCCACATGCAAATTCAGCTATACATGCAGGTGAAGAAGATGAGAAATATAAGTGTCATAGTACAGGAGAGCCTCCTGCCACTTCACTCGGTTGGAGAGTGCACCCAAACTGAGGGTGAGCCAGGGAGGAGAGAGAGAACTCTTATTTCTGAAATTGGTCCAATGGCTAATGGTAATACATCATACTTAAGAAACCCTAGAAGAGGTCATCTAGACCTCAACTTAAAGCAATCTGATCCAATTCGGGGGGGAACAGAGTTCTGAGGTAGACTTAGGGCATCAGGATGTTCTGCTTTTCAAATGCAGGATTTGAGTATTTTGACTTTTACGATCAATCCAAGGAATTCTTCAAGGACAGTTTGGACTACTTGAGAATTTTGTCCATACACTGACTTCAAAGACTGACCCCCACCTCAGATAAGACTTGACGATGGTGCCATGATTCATGGTCACTTTCCAAGTCCTGCTTCATGAGGCCTGCAAATATTTTCTGTCCCAATGGTCCATGTGTATCTCTGCCTCCTCCCAAGAATGTTCCTTGTGGTTCTAGTTAGTGTAAAGTGAATTGTTGTCACTTACAATGAAAAGAAACTGTAATAAAGCCATTTCACTTCCAGTAACCCTCCCCGTTTGCTGAGCCCACTTAGCACATTCCTGTTCGCTGTGACCCAAGAGTCCAGTGCACACCACACCAGGGTGAGTGGGCTCTCTCCCAGGAAAGGGAACTCACGCGACATAGTTGACGGCCCCAAAGGTGTTGGTTAACTGGCTCATGTGTTTTACATTGCCCAGCAGAGTGTCAGGGTCCTTCCATTTAACATAGTCCAAGAAGTTAAACTCTGTTTTGTGGGTTGTAGAAAACTGCACAGCAGCAAACTAGAAAGAGAAAGAATGAGATGCTGTTATCTATCATTACCTACATATCCATTCTAATCGCTACTTATCCAAGACCTCTGTCTCCCATTGCCCATTCCTGCTTCAAATAACTCTTTTGACAACAAGGCAATATATCAACAAGCACAAATAAAATTAAATAAACCTCTCCTCCCTAATGTGGTGCTGTCTGCCTACCTCACCAGTAGCCATATTTTTGCTGAGTAACGTTGCTAACCAGGTTCTGTTGGCTAAGCTGAGAATGGCTACCTAACCGAGCCCAGGACAGTCAGAATTTTATCTCTGAGAATTTGGACTGCAGAGGGAGAGATTACTTGAGAGGAGTGGGGGGAAGGGGGAATTCTCCTGAAACTTTAATATATGAACTTCACAGTTTTCCATGGGCCTAGGTAATCCAAATAAGCTGGGAGGAGCCAGTCTATGGAGGGAAAGAGAAGAAGGAAGCAAGAACACCAAAAAAAAAAAAAAATTTAGAGTTCTAGAAACTTCTTCTTCCTGGTTCTTTTGCCTTCCAGAGGTACAGCTATAATCATTGCCTTCAGTTCTGGAGGCACCTCATATCCACATTTCCCTTTATGCTGCTAGTTTAAATAAATACCTCTTGCTTATACCCAAAATCCTAACTAATATACTTACCTGGTAGGAAGAGTTGCCGAGTTTCCTCATCACATCCTTCATGAAGTCCAGAATTTTCTGAAATTCATCTTTTTGCAAGCTCATTGAGCCATCAAACAGAAACACCAGGTCTACGTTGCCCTTTATACATTCTGCAGGGGTCAGACACAAGGGACTTTAGTCACGTGTCTCCAGTGTGTGGCCTCCCATGCTAGGTCCTGTATATAGGCAACCACTTGGGATATTGTTACCCACTGGATCCCCCGATTTTTTACCCTGATAACCAGGGTCCCCTTGGTGCACAGGAACCCTCAGATTCTTGTGGAAGAGGTAACACCGGCCACTTAAATAAGTATTCTGGTCACACTTCCGAGACAGCCCAGGATCACAGGCCTGAAGAAAACAAAGGAGAAAAGTCTGGGGTCCCCTCTTGCTCTTGCATCATCACCCAAGCATTAGAACCTTAGAGTCATCGTCTCTGAACTCACTCCTGACTTTCAACAGGCTGCCAATGGCTATAGCATTGCTTAGTCCCTACTGCCTATAGGATTGAATGCCTTAGTGTAACATTCTTGTTTACGATCAAACACAATCCTACATTCCCAGATCTACCCACTTCCATTCCTGAGCACACACTGTATTTAAGTCAAATCACACTACTGATTATTCCCAAAATATACAGGGTAGCTTCTCTCATTATGGCTATCTGGGATGGGGTGGCTAAAAAAAATCATTATGGCTGTCCTGCCTGCCATATTGGAATTTCTTGAAAATCAGGGTTCAGGTCATGGCTATCTTTGTATCTCACTCTTTATCCCCCAGTAGAACAAAGCTTGGGTGTAACAGTAGTTCAGCAAACAAGGTCCTGTTAAACTGGCTCAATATTTCACTCAAGGCACAGATCAATGGAACAGAATAGAGAGCCTAGAAATAAACTCATGCATATATGGGCCAGTGAATTTATGAGCCAAGAATATACAATGGGAAAAAATGATACACAGTGGTGTTGGGAAAAAATGATACACAGTGGTGTTGGGAAAATGGGACTGTCACATGCAAAGATATGAAATTAGATCACTCTGTTATACCACATAAAAAAATATAACTAAAAATGGCTTAAAAATTTGAACATAGGGACTCCCTGGTGGCACAATGGGTTAAAGCACAGCACTATGAAGCTATCACAACCACTGCAGCATGAATTTGATTCCCAGCCAGGGAGCTGACCCACATGGCACAGCAGACCTCTCCTGACCCGCCCACCGCTCCTCTCAGCAGTATATTTCAGTAGATCTGCCTGTTCTGTTCCCTATTCTGTCTCTGGTGAATCCTCTCATCCCCTGCACCTCTGGCCTGTACCCCAGTTCTATATGCATAAATAAATAAATATTTTTTAAAAATTTGAATAAAACTTGAAGCCATAAAACTCCTAGCAGAGAACAAAGGTGGTAAACATCTTGACATTATCAAAAGTAAGCAAGCAGGACTGCAACAGGGATGCTTCTGCAGAGCAAAGGAAACCATAGCAAAATGAAAAGTCTGTCTAAGGAGTGGGGAAAATATTTGTAGATCATATATGTAATAAAGAGTTAATATGATCCAAAATACATATTGAACCCAAATAATTCTATAACTAAAATAAAAACTCATCAAAAAATGGTCAGAGAAAAAAAAAAAAAGGTCAGAGGATGTGAGTCGACATTTTTCCAAAGGAAACACACCCAGATCGATGTTCAATAAATACAGGAAAAGATGATCAAGATCTCTCATCATCAGCAAAATGCAAATCAAAACCGCAGTGAGATATCTCACATCTGTGAGAATGGCTGTTTTAAAAAAGACAGTATGACATGTATTGGTGAGCATGTGTGAACAAAATCCCTAGTGCACTATTGGCGGAGTGTAATTTTGTATAGCCTCAATGGAAACAGTATGGAGGTTCCTCAAAAATTTTAAAAAAGAATTACCACTATGATGCAGCAATTTCACTTCTGGGTATATGTCAAAAGAAAATGAAAATGTTTGCATCCCAATGTTCATTGTAGCACTGTTTACAATAGTTGAGGCCTGAAAGCAACCTACGGGTAACATAGAAGGAAATCTTCCTCTAGGGAAAAATTGAATAACCTTGCAGACATTATACTACGTAAATTAAGTCAGACCGAGAAAGACAAATGCCTAATGATCTCACCTACATGTGCCATCATAAAAAAAGAAATCCCGCCAAACTCATAGACTCAGAGGACAAAGTGGTAGTTGGTAGAGGGTCAAAGGCACAAGTTTTTTTTTTTTGTAAATTATAAAACAATCACCCTGAGAAAGTACAGCATTGTGACCACAGTTAATGAAACTGTGCTGTAAATTTCAAAGTTGCTAAGAGAGTAGATCTTAGAAATTCTCATCATAGGGAAAAATAATCTGTAACTATGCTATGGGTGTTAATGAAACCTACGCAGTATCATTTTGCAATCTACAAATATATCAAAATCATTACCCGCATACACAAAGTTGATATAATAGTCTATGCCCCTTACATCCCAATGTTAAAAAAAAAAAAATAAGAAAAACAGCACATAGTGCACAGCACTCAGCCAGGCTTCCCACACGCATAGGCTGTGTGTGCTCTAGATGTACGTGGTCACCTTGGAATCTGTGAGGGGTGGCCCTGGGTCTTCACCCCCTACTTCCTCTGCACACACCTTTCCTATAAACCTATCAAGGCTAAGGTTTCCAGAGCACACAAAAAGAACGTGTAGCTAGAAGTACCCGACTTATCCTTGGTAAGTCCTGTATTGGAGACCCCCTAAATGGGAGGACAAGACGACAGCAACTCACTGGGTCACCTTTTCCAAAGGGGAAATAGAGTTGTTGTTGTTATTGTTGTTTTAGGCCATAAGCTACCTGAGAACTTTCCTTTTTTTGCTCAGCCTTCTATCTGACAGAGCTGAGCCAGAAAGATGCTGTTGGGGTGTATTGTAAAGAGCAAAGAACTTGGCATCAGATGGAATCCTGGCTCTACCTCTCTAAGACCCTGTGACCTTGGCCAAGTCTCTTTACCCCTTTGGTCCTGTTTCCTCGTGAATAAATGTATGTAAATCCCAAGCTCACCCAAGAGTCTTGAGAGTTAAGAATGATAAAGTGGGGTCTCCCTGGTGGTGCAGGGGTTAAAGTCTCAGTGTTATCAAGCTACCAGCAGCCACTGCTTGTAAGTCAATCCCCAGCCAGGGAGCTGACCCACATGGCAAGGCAGACCTCTTCTGACCCACCCGCTGCTCCCCTCAGCAGTGTGTTTCAGTAGATCTGCCTGTTCTGCTCCCCACTGTCTCTGCTGAATCCTTTCACCCCTGTACCTCTGGCCTGTACCCCAGTTCTTATATGCATAAATACAATAAAATCTTAGCAAAAAGTGTGATGAAGTGTTTATCAAATGTCAGGCAGGACATTCTGGGCCATCCAGGCACATCATCCATGCTATTACTTACTTAACATTTTAGTTTTTCAAAAATTTTAACATCATTCTAAACAATAGGATCCAAGAGATCATGGGTCTGATATGCTCACTGAATATTTTTTTCTCATACGTCATTAAGTAAGTATATAACTATTAAAATATTAAAAGTGTGTGTACTAGGAAAATATCTTTTGTGTCAATAGTTATAGATACTTCATAGTTGAGGAAAAAAACTAAGGTACTCAGGCTTGTCTCAACAGATGCTGAATCTGAATCTATCTGATGTCTTTAGGTCTCCCCGGCCTCTCCATTCTCTTTTCTTCTTCCCTCTTTTTGATCTCTCTCCCAGTATCAAGTCGCAGTCTCACAAATCACACTCCACAAAATTCTTACCAAAAGGTTTTCACTTTTGGAGTCTGTTGCCAAGGTCATTCCCAAATACTTGGAGGTATGATTGGAACCTGCAGGCATCAGAAAATTAGTCTGGAGGACCTTTGGCAATCCAGGTGTGGGGACAAGCCCCGATTTCCTCGCCCCCGACCCCAGCCCCTCAGGAGCCACTCACCACTCAGGCTGACCAGCTCACAGCTCCCAGTGCCTGGCTGGCACTGGTAGAGGCTTCCGGTGCTATTGCCCTCACCTGGCGCTCCCACGACAACCCTGATGAGAGAGAGAGCTGGTGAGACTGACTAGGTCAGGTCATTTACCCTGCAGTGCCCCCCAGCCCCCCAATGTGAGGGCATTCAATCCCCACCAGGTTACTGCAACCACTTCCCTTCAGGAAGGCTCCCAGGCCCCGTTTAAATCCCAGATAAATAATCTGAGATGCCAGAATGCTAGGAAATTAAGGATTTTTTCCATTTGCAGTCTATAAAAACTGGGGCCCAGAGTAACATCTGCCACAATACTGTGTTACCAATTCAAAAGTTGTTTATGGCCTATCTACTACATGGCAGGTTATGTACTGGGGTTGAGGCAGGTGAAACAGAGAAACAATCACTGGCAAACCAGGGAGACTGGCAAGAACCTACAAAGTATTTTCAGGGCAGTGATATGTTCCCCTTCTCAACTGGCATTTAGGTGACATTTTAATAGTGCATCCTTACCCTACCACCTGGTGACTTGGCCTCTGTTTGCAAGAGATACCACCTACTCTCCCCGAGACAAGAAGGATGGTGAGACCTAACCTGAGGGGTTCCACCTACTGGCTAGCCCCAGGGCCTGTGTCTGTCTAGGCTGCCTTGGCCCAGGGCTCCCCAGGGCCGGGGAGGAGGCTCACCCTGTTCCAACCTGCAGGACGCGGTACCCAAAGTGCCTGCCAGCCTGTGGGATGGAGAAGTTCTGCACGTGCTGCACATCCAGGTTGTAGCTCCTGGTGGGGGCTGAGGGGAACAAGGGAGCTGTCAGCCATGTCCATCCAGGGGCCACGTTAGGCAGGGACTCTGCCACACTGGCCCCCAAACTGCTGGTGCTCACTGCCTGTCACCCACGTGGCCCCAAGCAAGTCACTAACCTAGACAACCCTTCCCCCCTGAGCTGCTCTAGCCCCAAGCAGAGTTGGAACCTGGCCTCCTTGCCCCCCAGACTTCCCCTTGAGGGTCTTGACTCCAGGAAACGGAAGCAGCAATTCCCCAAGACCCTGACAGTGCAGGACCTGGAAGCACGCAACTTCCTGGTTGCCCTCTCAGCATAAAAGAAAGAATAACTAGGCTGCTTGGGGTGAGAAGCAGGTCCAAGAGGCCCTGAAACATAAAGTGGCCAGGTTCCCAGGCTGGGACCAAGACAGGGATGTCCCAAGGCAGGGTGTATCTCCTCCACACTCACTTCTCCCTCAGAGCTGGGACCTTGGCACCCTAAGAACCGAAATAATTAGCCTTAGGTGCCTACCACAGGCTCAAGAATTCAAGATCCCCTGATTCCTGTGAGGCTGCTCTTCCAGTGCTCCCTCACTGCCCATCCCACCACAGCGGTCTCTTCCTTAACCACTCTGCCTGGGCCTCAGTCACAACCTCAAGCTGCCTTCCTTGCTGGACCTGCCTTCCTGCCACGCATCAGGCTGATTTCATAGCATCCTAGGGTGTCAGGTGCCAGACTGTCATTTGCTCAGATGAAGAGACCGAGATCCAGCAAACAGAAAGGACTTGCCTAAGAGGCACAAAGAGGAACCCACCAGGACCCTCCCAGGTTTGAGCCCCATTACACTTTCTCTTTCTAAGGCTCATACCCCATCTCTAAGTGTTATTGCCTTTGTCTTCCTTCTGGGTCTTTTCTTCCATAACGTGCTCAGATTTTGGACCCTGACTTCTCTCCCCCCTCCCCTCTCAAGAGTCCAAGGCCCGCATGGCCTGTGGCCAATCCCACCCTCACAGCAGTTTGTTTACTCCAGTTCCACAAAACCCTGCAGTTCCCCTGGTCTCACACCTCCCTACCCCTCCGCCTCCCTTGCCTACCAAAGAGAAGAGGCCCCCACAGCAGCAGCTGTAACATGATGGTGCAGGAGCTCATCTTTCAGATGGCTGGAGGGAACTGGCTCAGTGAGAAGGGGTCTTGGGAGTTGCTAGCAACCTATAGCACATGAAAGAAGGAAATGGGACTACCCGAGAAGGGACTTTCTAAAGGGTGATGAAACAGGGTAGAGGCGGTAGAGGCGGGGAGGTCGGAGGGGGAGGGGGCTTGGGGGAGGGGAGTTGTGAAACACATGTTCAAAGAGGAAGTGTAAGGAGGTTAAAGATACTTTCCCAGGCTATTGCAGCACATTGTCCAGCGTCTTAGCTAACTAGCTAACTACAGCTAAGAGCTGCTGTGATCTTTTACCAATACTCCAATTTCAGACTCTTTAAAGTTCAGAAGAAGAATTGCCAAATAAACTGTGATAGATCCACAATGGAATGCTATGTTGTCGCAAAAAAGATTGAGAAAAGAAAAAAATATATAAGGGGATAAACAATGTGACAGCTTTCTCTTGACACTGGAGATGTCCACAACCCCTTCCTCTGATGCCTCCCTTGCCTACCAGCGAGAAGAGGCCCCCACAGCAGCTATCAAGAAAGGTGCTGCCGAGTAAAGAAAATGAGCTCTGGAATAGTATGTTCAGTAACTTGATGCTAAAAAAAAAAAAAAAAATCCTCCCCCCAAAATCCACAAAATGGGAGAAAATATTACAAATCGTAGATCTGATATAGGACTTATATCCAGAATATGTAAAGAATTTGTGTAATTCAACAATTTTAAAAAGCCCAGTGTTTTTTAATGGGCAGGGCCTTTGAACAGACATTTCTCGGATGATGATATATGAATAGCTATGAAGCATATGACAAGATGCTCAGCATTAGTCACTGGAAAGATGCAAATCAAGATTGAAATAAGTTGCCATTTCCCTCCTGCTAGGGTGGCTAGAATAGAAAAAAGAAATAACAAGTGTTGGTAAAGCCAGAGGTGCAGGGGCAGTGAGAGGATTCACCAGAGACAGAGTGGGGAGTAAAACAGGCAGATTGACAAAGCATGCTGCTGAGGGAGCAGCGGGTGAGACAGAAGAGGTCTGCCGTGCCACGTGGGTCACCTCCCTGGCCGGGGATCGAACTCATGCTGAGGAGGCTACAACTAGCCTTGTATTGCTGCACTCCAACCAGCTGTGCCACCAGGGAGGGCCCTATTTATTTATTTCTAAATGAATTTTATTCTATAATTTTAACGGTTTTATGTTCGACATTTTATGTCTGAAATTTTTTTCTGCATTGAACTGGGGTGGAGGCCAGAGGTATCTTACCAGAGATAGAACGAGGAGCAAAACAGGCAGATCCACTGAAGTACACTGCTGAGGGAGCAGCGGGCTGGTCACAGGAGAGGTCCACTGCACCATGTGGTCACCTCCCCTGGCGGGGGAATGAACTTGTCCTGCAGTGGCTTTGGAGAGCTTCATAATGCTGCACTTCAACCTGTTGCACCACGAGGGAGGTCCCTGATCCTATTTTTGAACAAGTCTTTTCCTCCTTAAGATTCAGAATTTCAGGTGAGAAACCAGTCTGCTCTGCAGGTGGCAGTCTGCTGAAAACCAGCTGGACATGTAAGACACAGCCCAGCCTGGCACTGGGAGATACAACAACTGAAGCACAAGAGCCAGAGAAAAGGGGGAAAGGCGGTGAAACTTAATAATAGATTATGAAATGTGGGGTTTGAAGTGTTTACTTAACTGCACGTGGCGTGGTCCTGGCAGAGAATACGCCCAATGTTCACAAGCTCTTTCTCTTTAAGTTGAGGAAACTGAAGCAACACACACCAAAGCCATGGAGGGTGCGGCTGCAGGGCCAGGGCTGCCAGGTGCTCCTGGACTCGGTTCTCTCCACCCACGAGATCAGCAGTTGGAGTGTTACATTTGCAGAGATTTTCTTGGAAATAATCCAAAGCAATCTTCCAAGATGGCCCATAAAAGAGTATGCCGAAGCATCACTTCAAAGGAAGGCTCCGGAACTGGAAGAACAGCTGGCCAAGTTGAACAGGCCCCGGGTAGAGCCTCGGGTGCCAGCTCTGGTGACGAGTGGCAGGGGAAGGAGTTCCGTGGTGGTGACGGGTAAGCAGGAGACCCTGCCCTTAGCTAGGATGAGTCCTGTCCCCATGGCCAGGCACGGACCGTGTCCTCTCTTATGGAGGAGGGTTTGCCAAATGCCACCACTTTCCTTTGAGCCAATCCTAGGTATCCAATGGATGGGGGGAAAAAACAACTAATAATCCTGTCCCCACCAATCTTCATACCAAAAATTGTTAGTTTTAGTAGTTAACTGTACAAGTTTGACCCGTTTGGAAAAACTGTAATTAGCTCAACACAAACCCAGAATGAATAACCAAATCAGACATCCTCAGTGGGCAGGTTTTCCTTTAGACCTCTGTTCTGCAATCATCCCAGGCCAGGTAGGTTCATCATTGGTTCAGGCAGCTTGAAAGAGAATCTTGGAGGCCTTGGCATCATCCCCACTGGCTAAGGGAGACGAGCCAGCTGGGAGACAGTCACCTGGCCCCCTGGCAATCCCTGTACCCTCTGCTGTCTTCACTGTTCTCTGACACTCTCGCCACACTGCCTGCCCTGCACAGTCCTCTGTCCATATCTCTGGGCTCTGCTGCTGCCCTTAGATGCTCAGGTGTGCCCACTCATGCACATCCACACCTTGCTCCAGGTGCCACCGTCAGGCACGCTTGTGTGACCACAGGTGTTGACCATTGATGCTAACGGAGGGAAGGCAGAAAAAACCTGCTAACTCCCATTTACCCTACAGCCATCTTCTAACTTGAGGTGTTTTGATTAGGGCTTAAGATTACAGAAACTGTTAAGTGTATCAGCAGCAATGGGATAAAGGGCATTGAGAAACCAACCGAAAAGTCTCCTCTGAGGCAATGACAGGTGTTGCAGATGTTTCAGCAAGTAGACCCATTTATGTGTTATCTTTTGGTTTTCAGTTAAAAAAAAAAAAAAAAGGCACAAAGTACCAGTAAGCCTCTAAGATTCTAGAAAGTGAGGGGCCCTTGCAGGGCGGGTAGGTGGTTTCCCTAAGGTCTGTAAGACAACCACAATTGAAGCAGGATGTACCACACACACACACACACACACACACACACACACACACACACAACCCCTTCCTTAGTGACAGTTATCTGATGCCTTCCTCAGCATCAGATTGTCAGTTCTCCAATGGCCCAGTTCCCCTGAACTGTCTTTTACTTCCATTCCTTTGTTATATTGAGACTTTAAATGATACATTAGCTTCAGGTATGGGACAGGAGGTGCATCTGAATCTACTGATCACCACAATAAGTCTAGTTAACATTTGCCACCATACATAGTCACAAAAAAAGTTTCATCCTTCTGATAACTACAGGATGAGTCTCCCCAAAATGTTCCCCGAAAAGTGGGCTTTTTCCTGAATAGGCCTTTCCCAATATGTGTCACCTTGGTACGTAGAACAAAGCTCAATCAAGGCCCTGTGGGTCTCAAAATAAACCGTTTTTGGTTTTTTGTTTTTTTTTTTTCAGATTTATTTATTTATGCATAAAAGAACTGGGGTACAGGCCAGAGGTGCAAGGGATGAGAGGATTCACCAGAGACAGAATTGAGAGCAGAACAGGCAGATGGACTGAAATACACTACTGAGGGGAGCAGCGGGTGGGTCAGGAGAGGTCTGTTGCACCATGTGGGTCAGCTCCCTGGCTGGGGATCAAACTTGCTGCAGTGGCTGCAGATAGCTTCATAGAGCTGTGCTTTAACCCATTGTGACACCAGGGAGGGCCCTGATACCCCAGGCTCTAAACCAGTAAATTCCTGGTTTGACTCATTCAATTTAGAATTTACGGCTATATATTTTCCCAACATATGTTATTAAATTTGATCTTTTATCTTCCTAATCTATCTGCTGTTAATCAGTTCTCAAAAGTACCCAGAGGGTGGGGGGATTTTCCCCTGTGCCCTGACAGAACTTTTTTTTTAAATGAACATTTAATAAAGTCACCAGTCATTAGTTGAGCCTCCTCTCTTTCCAATTACCAACAGTCCAATCCTGACAGAACTTTTAAGGTCAACTCATTTAGTAGCTTTCAAATACACTGTACAGTATTGTTAACTACAGTCACCAAACTGCATTAAAATCTAGTACTTATTTATTTTTATTTTTTGATTAAGATTATTTATGCATGTAAGAACTGGGATGTAGGCCAGAGGTGTGGGGGGGAGGTGGGAGGGTGAGAGGATTCAGCAGAGACAAGAGTGGGGAGCAGAACACGACAAAATACACTGCTGAGGGGAGCAGCAGGTGAGACAGGAGAGGTCTGCTGTACCATGTGGGTCAGTTCCTTGGCCAGGGATTGAACTCGTGCTGTTGTGGTTGCAGGGAGCTTCTCAGAGCTGTGCTTTAACCTTTTGCACTTCCAGGGAGGGTCCCATACTTCTGTACCATCATCTTGCTTGCATGAAATTTAAGTGATCCAAATGGTGACGATGGCTGACCAGCCCAAATCAATACCCAGAGCAAAGGTAACCACTGATAGATGAGTCAAGAGATGCCAGCTCCCTCCAGGATGGCCAGTTGCTCTACTTTTATGAACTATTTTATATGGGATTGTTAAAATGGACCAAATTTCACAGAGGAAGGACAAGTGAGGTTCTAGATTGAGAAATTTGGGTGCCCTGAAGACAGTGGTACAGAGGCCTCAAGTCTCCTAGACCCTTTGTAATGTCCAATGAGCTGAATTAGGTCTTATTTTTCCATTGTTTCACTTGAAACAATGAACTTTTCTCTTGCTACAAGAGAGCAAACAGGACTCTGCATTTAGTCATCTCACCTCTTGATCACTCCCTGGTCCAAGTCACTGTTGTGTCAGGCCTGGATTGAGTGCAGTTTCTAATGGGCAACCCTGCCCCTTCCTTCCATGGTCTGTTCTCACACAGCAGTCAGAGGGATTCTTTAAAACTACAAACTAGGGCCTCCCTGGTGGTGCAACAGGTTAAAGCGCAACACTATGAAGCTACCTACAGCCACTGCAGCA